AATCTATCCTAGTCGACCTTCTTCTCTTTTCTTCCCTTTCCTYWGTCTYTTGCTGAAATCCCCAACTTTCTACTCTTCCTTCACAAGAAGCTTGGCCGAAATCAGCACATAAGGTTTTTTACTAGCTAATTTTGAAAAATGTTGAAATTAATGGATCTAAAATACCATCACTTCCATGTTTTGAGAGGAATTTTTTTTTAACAGAGATGAAATTTAACGTTATGAATAAGCAAGTTCTCAAATAACAAATGACAATCAGTCATCAGTGATTCAGAATACTTTAAAATTTTGGAAAAAAAATTAAACAATAGTCAAGAAGAAGCTCATAAATAATCATAACAATCAACACGATTCAATCAGAAAATGGTTCATTAAGTAACACTTGGTATTTTGTACTGAATCCAATATATGGGATATAAGGTCCTCAGAAAATCAATATCTAGTTCTTAGGGAAATGTCTAAGAAAAATGCCATATTGAATAAACAAGTGTTGTTACTTATTATGACAGCTTGTTTTTTTTTTTTTGGAAAATGTAAAGATACAACAAGACCCAGGCCACTATATCTGCCTGGGCACAATAAAGATTACAAGTACATCCAAGACTTGGAACAGAACAGAAAGGTTAAATTCTGGTTTTTAAATTCCTCATTCACTGACACCCAAGAGCATAGCTTCCCCACGGTTCTCTGCACAATTTCATCCAGGTTTTTAAACTTGCCGCAGAAGATTCTATTATTCCTTTCAGTTCAAATGGACCAAAACACAGCTGCCGGGATGGAACTCCAAACAATCTTTCCTTTCTTGCTGATACCTTCAACTCCCCAACACATCAGCATCTCCTTCACTGATATTGGCATGGTCCAGCTGATCTCCAAAGCCTTTAGGAAATGCCCCCAGATCAAGGAGGATACCGGACAATGGATGCACAAGTGATCTGTAGTTTCCTCACTCTTTCCACACAAACTACAAGAGAGGTCCAGGATCTGAATACCTTGTCTCTCCACATTTGTCTTAGTCAGACATTTATCAAGGGCCATAGTCCAAACCAGAAAATTGATCTTGGAGGGAACAGTTGGCTTCCATATCTGCCTATCAGGGTGATTCTCATGACCTGAACCACACAATTTCAGAAAAAGGGATATGACTGAAAAGCTGTATCTGCATTCCACTTCCAAACCCACTCATCCTCTGAGTTCGAATCAATCCACTGATTTTGAAGCAGCCCCAACAACTCCCCAAACTCTTCCACCTCCCAGTCAAACAAATTTCTCCTACATAGGGGAGTCCAAATGATAGAGTCACCAGAGGTGCTGAAATTTTCAGCAATTGAAGAATCTTGATTCATGGCAATTTGGAAAAGAGAAGGAAAAACATCATCCAGTGGACCCACTTCACACCAAGGATCCTTCCAAATTTTGATTCTATCTCCCTTACCAGCTTTAAATCTGATCCCATCCAGAAAAAATTGAGTGTTCTTCAAAATACCTGCCCAGAGGGATCTTTTCCCATTGATACTAGGCACCTCTGATCTCCAACCACCCCCATTCCACACCATACTTTGCCGCAATAAGGCTTCTCCACCATGCATTCCTCTCCGATGCAAATCTCCATAACCACTTGCTAAGGAGGGCAGAATTAAATTTCTTCAGCTTTCTTATTCCCAGCCCACCAGCTTCCTTGGGGAGACATACTTGATCCCACTTCACAATTTTCTTATTCTCTGCACAAACCTCCAACACTCCTTATAGAGCTTCTTATAAGAAGAGGTGGCAACTGATTTAATCTCTGCCCATGATTCCCCGATCTTATCTTCCCATACCAGCTTGCTAATAGAAGACACTCTAGCACAGGCATTTGTCATTTTCTGAAAGAAGCGTGTATTTTTGTCACCTTCCTTAAGCCAAGTGATTTTAGCTCTTTGTCTCCATTTAATGTCCTCCCTCACAACCAATTTATCAAACCTGTTTTTAGCTTGGGTTCTTTTAGCCTCAACTCATCAGAAATTGGACCTATCTCTTCAGCTCTATCAATCTCTTCAATGAAACCTAGAAGAGCTTTCTTTTCAATGCCCAGCTTTAACTTTTTCTCCAAACTCCAAATAGTTTCCTCTTAATAGCACCTAGTTTTTTTGCCAAAACAAAGGAACTTCATCCCTCCATCTGAGTATCATTCCATGCAGAATTCATCAAAGGAATCAGCTTTTCATCCTCATACCAAGCATTCTCCAATTTGAAGGGAGCTCTAATTTTCTCATAGTGACCACATATTAGTTGGATAGGGCGGTGGTCAGAGATGGGTCTGGGAAGAGTAATTTGTCTAAAATCAGGAAAAATATCATCCCAGTTTGAAGAGACCAAGAATCTGTCCAGCCGCACAAGAGTGGGGTTTTCTTGGTTATTGGTCCAGGTGAATTTATTGCCTTGAATAGGTAGATCCATAAGTTCCATATTGTTTATAAAATCTACAAAACAACCTCATCTGCCCCGTTCTTCCACTCCGCGCGTTCTTCTCTTCCACCGAGAGAGTTACATTAAAGTCACCACCTATGACCCAAGGATGGTCCAAAGAACCTCTCATATCTGATAACTCCTCCCAAAAGCTTGCACTGAGATTTGAAACTGTTGGACCATAAACATTGGTAATTTGGATAACATTACCATCTTGAGTCTTCATTACTAACAAGATTGAGAAATTTCCAGTTCTGCTAGAGATAAGCATACAAACTGATGGATCCCAAAGACACAGAAGCCCCCCCCAGCACTTCCAGAAGCTGCCTTTGCCTTCCATCTGACCTGACCATCCCCCCAAATACTTCTAATAACCGCAGCATCTAATTTCTCCAATTTTGTTTCTTGAAGCAAAACAATCTTCGACTTCGACAACTTCAATGAATCACAAACCACCATTCTTCTTTTGCCCGATCCCAGGCCTCTTACATTCCAGGAATTAATTCTTAAATCCATGAAACAAAAAGGAAAGAATAAAAAAACCCCCCATCGCAAATTTCCTTCAGACCCAACTCAAGTTTTCTTTAAACCTCTTGCAAACCCTTCAGTACTCCCCGCCTTGTCATTCAGGCCCCATGTCAGTCTCACCATTTCCCTACTTCTCTTTGAATTTGTCCCTCCTTTTTTTGCCGCCATTTTTCCCCTCTCTATCAAAATTCTTTGCTCGATCTCTTCCAAAAATTTAATTGTTTCTGCTTCCATTCCCTCCATCGAAACCCCTAAATCCATCACTATTTTTTGTAACATACTTTTTCAAAGCAACATACTTTTTCTGGTTAATTGCATGGTTCTATTCTGATGCAAATCCACGAATCTCAAACTTGACTTTTCAAAGAACTCAAAACGCTAACAAAAAAATTCCAAAAAATAATAGAAAATAAAGAAGACAAAGATTTATGTAGTTCAGCCATGCACCTAGATAACAAGAGAAATAAACCCATTTTTCACTATGAAAGAAAATGGAGAACAACACAAGCCTGCTCAAGTTTTCTTTCCCAAAACCCAACCCTTGTACACTAGTACACCCATTTTCACTTACCTCTCTCTAAAACCTGAACAAAAAGGATGCCAAGACTAAAACCAGTCTCGACATGTAAAACCCACCCATACCTTGTAGAATAAACCCTCATACAAGATAAACTAAATTTCTTTGTCAGTTCCCTGAAGAAATCCTATTTCAGTCAAATAGGAAACCCACCTTTGGAAAGCCAACCAAAAGCAACATAATACATCTTTGTCTATGAAAGTCAACTTATGCACCATGTTTGGATGACACAAAAAATAAGAGATGACTCAATTAACTTGCTCTCTAGTACTTATGGTGCATATAGACGCCCAGAAATGGTATAATCTTTCATAGACAACACACCAACCTTGTGATCAAGAATGGCATCTTTTTGGAAGCTAGAAATGTACCGCTACACAAGATAAACAAATATAGACATTCCATGCCATAACTGCCAAATTATTATATGAAGGAACTTCTTATTCATCACAAGAAGCAATGAAGCATACATACAATGATGAAGTATTGCATTTTTTTATACTTCTTTGCAGTCATACTGCCTAACCCATTACATTATCATAATCGGTTCTCATTTTCATACTTCTTTTCTAAGATTTCCTTATCCTATTTACACATCACTATTAAGACGACATGTAATGTCATTAGTTACCTTGTAAAAGGCTCTGACCAGCACGTTGCATAGATTTGGACGGCTCTACTAAATTAATTCTCTCCAAAGAACGAGGCCAGATTTCTCGCAATGCCCTATACCATTCTTTAATTAATCAAAAGGAAAAAAACGGAACTTGAAAACTACCAGAAAATGTTGAACTCATAATGATATCGCGAAGAATCATCAGAAAATAATCGAACCAGCTTCTCACCACAGAACCGAACCAGTACCAGAGCCAAAATCCAATACTCTAGCTGGAGAAAATCCCGGCAATCTTCTACGAACCTACAACAGCACCATTTGAACTTACAAGAAATGAATTTGAATTCAAAACATTAACGAAGAAATAATTGTTTGTATTGTATTTTATTTTTTCATTTTACCTCTCTGAGAACTCTGTGACAGGCAGAGCATACGGCGGGCATCCGAGAAGCAACATACGCTACAGTCTCGTCGTCTCTGTACTTGAGACCAATGTCACCATAAGAAGTCTTGATCTTCCATCGTTTTGAGCGCTCCATGGACTTGAGAGGGTCTTCAACGAGTTCCTTTGAAGTGGAGGTGGCGAGCTGGAGATTAACGTCCTTGATTTCACTGAATGACTCAGACAAACTCAATACCTTTCTCTTCATATGGGGTTTCTCTTGTTCTGGGTCGAATTCGAATTCGAAATAACAACAGAATTGAAAATTATAAGAAAATAAAAAGAGAAAGAAAAAAAAAAATAGGAATCAAAGAACTAAAGGAAAAATGATAAAAACAAGGAGAAAGCCACAATGGGAGGGAAAAGACGAAAGACCTCTAAGGATCTTTTTGATGGCCCTACGAAGTCGAACAGGAACGATATGTATCCGCTCTGATTGCTTTGCTGCGGATCGAAGAGTTTCGGGTGTGAAAACCTTATGAGCTGCTTCAGGGATCAAAGACGCCATTTTCAAATAGTTCGGGAAAACTACAGCAGGGGACTCGCCGGAACTGGGGGGTTTAGTGGTAGGGCTTTAGGAAAGGAAGTAAGAAGTAATGTGGGTCGAGTTGAGCTCGAGTGCTCGACCAGCAAATCAGTAATGTGGGTCAGCACGGCACGAATTAAAGGCGGCCCGTGCTGCCGCTTGGGCAGCACGGTCCCCCTCCGACTCCCAGGTCAGGGCCCGGAACAGTCCGTGGCCCGGTTCCCAGCCGTGTTGGGTAGAGCTACATCGGGCCAGATGAACCGGGCCCAAATCGGCCCTACTTTTTTCTTTTCCAATTTTCTTAAATAAAGAAAAAAATAGAAACAAAATAAAAAATAAATATAATAGCATAAAATTAACGTGAAATTTGTGAAAATTTTATTTCATTTTAAATTTAATGTGTACAAAAAATAAAAAAAATACATTGAAAAAATAATACAATGGAGTTGAATTAATAAAATGATAAAATTGAAAATAAAAATTACAATTGGATTGGATTATTGGGAAATATTATAAATAACTCTCAAAACAAAATTGAAAATAAAAATTACAAAAATATAAAAATATGGATTCAACACTTTTCAAGTTCCATGTCCATCATCCACATTTGGTGAACTATCATTTGAGGTGTCATATCCTCCTTTGTCTTATAGCCTATTTTTTGCATCTAGTCAATCTTTCAAGTAGATACACATCTCCAAAAATTGATCATTCAAGTTGTTCTCCTCCACTTCCCTATCTCAAGTGAAATGCTATGTCTTTAAATAAATAGCTAGTGCCACATTTTTTTTTTGCAATGCTCTTTTCCCCTTTCTAGGGGGATTTCCTCAATCTCAAACATAGTCTAGACTTCACTATTCCCTATCTTACCAAAGTGAGACTTGACATTATTGGATTTTGATGAGAACGGATTTGGCCCTCCAGTGACATCATGACACATGGCATCTCAGAGCAGCTGGATGACACCCCAACACCACCTAGGTGACGACTTACCTTAGCCGAAGTGATGGAGTCCGACCTGGTAACCTGCCTTTGCCGCCAACCTAGCGACCTACCTCCGTCGACCTGGTGGAAATCTAGCCAGCGACCTCATCCACAACTCGGGGCGGCTTGCAGCACCTCGCCCACGACCAACCTATGGTACCTCGTCAGTACGGTCAAAGCGACCTCAATGAGGAGCGGCCTCCCTCAAGGGCTTGCCGACCTGATTGAGGTCCAAGTGGCAACCTGCGAGACGTGCTCGCTAACCAATTATGCCTGCATATCTCGTCACTCTCGGGTTTCTCGTAAGTTGGCCCTGCCCCGAATGTTCCAGAGGAAATTGAACAAGGCACGAAGACTAGTCTACATGCACGGCTACCTCCAAGTACTTCAGACCGGTTAGGCACGTCTTCTTGGAGACCTCGGACGCAATGCGTGAAGCCCACGCCAAACAACGTCTATATAAAGGCACCAACTCCAATGACACAAGGTACGCACGATTTATTGCATTCTAGCTTACTTTCTATCAAGCTTTCAGCTCGCACACATTGAGTATTGACTTAAGCATCGGAGCAACCACACCGGGTAAGCCATCCCGGGTTCTCTGAGCTCTGTTTACCTTTGCAATTTGATCGGTCAGCTAAGCAACCAATATCCGAGCTGCCCTCTAGCTAAGAGCATCTAGATCATGCACTATCAATTGGCGGCGTCTGTGGGAAACGCAACAAAAAGCTAAGTTCTCACCTTCTAGTTTTCACCTTTATCAACTCAATGACATTTTTTAACAACACCAATATCAAGAACAAAGTATCAGTTACTAGGGGGCAAGAGCATCCGTGATGAACCTCGAGAATCCCTATGTGACAAATCAAGTAAGTGCAGTGCCCTTAGCACTTCTTGGAGTAGCAATTGTGTCAAACCCAACACTCCCATTACCCCAGACAAGCACACTGCAACCTCATGTGAACGCCCCTCTCCCCGCGATAGAGCCATCAGAGATTCCTGCCGGGATTGAAGCGCAACAGTTTTATGACCTGAAGCATGAATCTCCGAATGTGGGCATGGGAGGGGAAGTTCGATGCATTCATTTTGCCACAAAATAATCAGCAACAAAATGACCTCATCAAGCAGTAGTCTAGCGACATGCACCTCGGAGTAAGATCGCCCCCACAGATCGAGCCCTTCGCGGTTCCCATAGGAGTTGATGGCCAACAGACTGAGCAGCTCTACTGACCTTAATTCAGCCTGGATGAACCTCGTCAGCTCTGTTCGCAAGGTCGCCTCTACAGGTTGAGCCCTTCGTGGCTCCGCAGGAGCCAATAGCCAACTGATTGTCTGGTTGCCGTTGCAGGTCGAGCCTTCCAAGACTCCCGTGCAAGTCAACGACTTACGATTAGTAGAGCTTCCCCCACAGATCGAGCTCCCTGTGGCTTCTCGTAGGAGTAGACGACTAGCATCACCAAGGGGCTGATGCAGAAGCCATGGCACCGACCTACCGCCCAATGCCGATAGCAACACACGTATCGACAAAGCCATCACAAGGGGGTAGAAATATGACCGACTTGCCCAGGTGAGCTTCAGGGATCTAGCCTAGATTGTCTCCCAACCCGAATTGCGAAGCCTCACAACTAATCAAACTCTATATGTTTCCCCTGAGAGTTGGAGACGAACTGAATGTGAAACCGGCCTCATATGTTGAGCCCTTTGTGGTTTCCGTAAGAGTAGGCGACCGGTAGACAGTAGAGCCACCCCCTCAAGGTGAGCCTTCCATAGCTCCAATAGGAGAGGGCAACCAGTAGTTCTAGGAGCAGGTGCAGTACATGTACACCATGGTCTCGCAAGCACCTACCGGACGAAGTCAATCCCAAGCAGTGACATAGAAGCAGCCACATTTAAAGCTACTACGGAATGGCCATCCGCTTTGGCGACATGGTCAAATTGAGTTCTAAGGGAAAGCCATACCGCTTTTTAGCTAAGGCACCCTCAAGCCAACTTTGAAAGCACGACAGCAATAGGTAGACCGATCTAAGCAGGTTGGCCCCCTATTTATCTAGCTCGGCAAGACATGTAAATCGATCTCAAAAGACGTCGGAATCTCATCGCCAACTCTAAAAAAAAGAAAGAGAGAAAAACAAATGAAGGTAGGGAAGACTAGTTCACTTTTAGGACCATGGCAGATGTGCAAACTTGGTTGATCTCTTCACAGCCAACCTCCATAGCTCTAGTGGAAAGGGCGGCCAGTAGTTCCAGGAGCAGGTGTAAGCCATGATCTCGCAAGCACCTACCTAGGGAAGCCAATCCCAAGCGGTGGCATAGAAGCAGCCACATTTAAAGCTAATACGGAACGACCATCCGCTTTGGTAACTTGGTCAAATTGATTTCTAAGGGAAAATCATACCGATTTTTAGCTAAGGCGCCCTCAAGCCAACTTTGAAAGCACGACAGCAACAAGTAGACCGATCTAAGCAGGTTGGCCCCCTATTTATCTAGCTCGGCAAGACGTGTAAATCGATCTCAAAGGACGTCGGAATCTCATTGCCAACTCAAAAAGAGAGAGAGAAAAAAACAAATGAAGGTAGGGAAGACTAGTTCACTTTTAGCACCGTGGCAGATGTGCAAAGTTGGTCGATCTCTTCACAACCAACCTCCACCTCGATTTTAGGCTCCACATCGACCACGCTGACTACTCTTTTGGGAACCAGATCGAGGGACATTGTGTTGCACTCCACCTGAGTGGAGCGACCTGACGAGGTAGTCACATAGTTAGAAGCCCTCTTAAGGACGGCATGACGAACTTTGCTCTTGAGGTATTGGGCTGAATTGCAAAACTCCTTAATGGTTGCATCCCTAGTAAGGTAGATGTCCTTAAAGTGCTTGCTTTGCCTCTCATTGAGCGAATGAATTCACGCTTGCGCGCTGATAATCAAGGCGGTGAAGTCCTACGTAAGGCTACATTCAACACTTAGACTCTTCTGACCTAGGAAGCAAGCTAGACCGACTCCTACAGCTACGAGCTCATCAATCTAGTCACTCTGGGCCAAAGAAACAAGCTACTCCCTTCGCTGAGCTGATCTCAGCTCGAGAGTGGGGGGCAATTGGTGAGGGTGGATTTGGCCCTCTAGTGACATCATGACACATGGCATCTCAGAACACCTGGATGACACCCCGACACTACATGGGCGATGACTTACCTTAGCCAAAGTGATGGAGTTCGACCTAGCAACCTGCCTCTGCCGCCAACCTGGTGACTTGGCTCCGCCGACCTAGTGGAAATCTTGTGGCGACCTCATCTACAACTCGGGGCAGCTTGCAACACCTCATCCAGGGCCGACCTATGGTACCTCGTCAATACAGTCGAAGTGACCTCGATGAGGAGTGGCCTCCCTCGAGGGCTTGCCAACCTGATTGAGGTCCAAGTGGTGACCTACGAGACGTGCTCACCGACCAATTCTGTCTACATATCTCGTCACTCCTAGGTTTCTAGGAAGTTGGCCCCCGCCCCGAATGTTCCAGAGGAAATCGAACAAGGCGCAAAGACTGGTCTACATGCATGGCTACCTCCGATGACTTCGAACCGATTAGGCACGTCTTCCTAGAGACCTCGGATGCAATGCGTGAAGCCCACACCAAACAATACCTATATAAAGGCACCAACCCCAATAACATAAGGTACGCACGATTTATTGCATTCTAGCTTACTTGCTATTAAGCTTTTAGCTCGCACACATTGAGTATTGACTTAAGCATCAGAGCAACCACACCGAGTAAGCCACCCTGGGTCCTTTGAGCCCTGTTTGCCTTTGCAGTTCGACGAGCTAGCTAAGTAACCAACGTTTGAGCTGTCCTCTAGCTAAGAGCCTCCAGATCGTGCACTATCAGATTTGGCTTCATCAATAAAGTGAAAAGGATTATGGAAAGAACCAGCCATTGTAATGAAAATTAAATTTTAGAAAAAAACAAACTTAATCTACTACTTTACTCAGTCCACTCAAATTCACAAATTGCAGTATTTCATTTGGAGACTTGAGACACTTGAAGACTAGTTGTTTACGACTATTAGAAGGGGTATTTTCGTCATTCTAGAGATTATATGATATTTAACTTAAATTCCCTC